AATGACAATGACAATGACAATGACAAAATAATATTTTAAGAGGAGGCCTCCAATAACCTAGAGGTGGTTTCAGTAGGGTCCTCTAAAAAATAAAAGCCTAGAATATACATTAAGTGTCTAAAATACAAAAGTAATAAAAGCTAAAAACATGATACTAAAACTAAGGATTAAAACTAGAACTAGGATTAAATGAAAACTGTTTCAGTTTGTATTTAATTTGTTTATTCTTGTTAATGCTTACATGTGTCAACTAGATCTTTTTGGCGTCAAATCATACCTTTTTCACATCTTGTCTCTTGGCTTATTTTGGCAGAATCTTGTATTTTTTGATTGGATCTCAGTTAATGCTTCATGAACCTTTTTAGCAGTGCAAACAAAGAGAAAGGCAAGAAAGATCTCAAGAAGGAAATGGAAAACCAGAAAAAGAAAGAAAGGGAAGAACAGAAAAGGAGAAAGGAAGAAGAGAAAAGAAGAGAAAGAGAGGGAAAAGAAGAAAAAAGAAGGAAAGAAGAGGAGAAAAAGAGAAGGGATCGGGATGATAAAGAGCTTCGAAAAAAACACAAGGTACCTGGGATTAAGATCAGGTTGCCAGCTGACAATGTTATGACTGACTGACTTTTTAACTGTAATATTGTTACCTGGAGTGATTGTTTTATTCCAGAAACCCTTTGAAAATGTTTTGGAGTAGCAGGCAGTATGACAGGGGTAGTAACCAAAAAAATGGCAGGGAGGGATTTGAAATTAATCAAAATTAGTGAACTTCAATGTGAAATAGGCAGTAAGGAATTTATTGTAGGTGAAAAACTGCCAACTGTCAGCACATTTGCAGGGCTGTTATATTGTAAGTTTTTTTGTGGAGGTATGGTGGTGTCTTCGCTGGTGCACTTTCCTCCAGATCAAGTGGTCCGGGCTCAGTGAATTTGGTTTATGGGCGAGGCAATTTACTGGCTCAGTGCCTCCCTCCAGTGACCTAGGTGTATAAATGGGTACTGGTGAATTTAATGCTGGGGTAACCCTGTGATGGACTAGCATGTCATTCATGCTACAGAAACTGGAGATAATTAAGGATGTGCCTGATGGGCCACTTGGCTCATATACAGACTTTACCATGTAACCTTTTTTTATATAGTAAGTTTATACTGACAGTATGCGTTTCTCCTTTTCAGTTAAAAGCTGGAGCTGAAGGCAATGGTGTTGGAGAAGCTAAGAGAAACTTTACTGGTGATGGAAAGTTTGAACTGCCAGTGAAGGAAGGGGAGACACTGGTTATTATCAGTGAAAAAGGATGTCCTCAAGGAAAATGGCTTATTAAGAACCCTGAAGGACACTGTATGTTTAATTTGTGTCAGTTACTGTAGTAATGAAGAGAGGCGTGGTGACCACATGATTAGTGCGCTCATCTCTGGTATGAGCGGTCCGGGTTCAAGCCCTGGCCAGAGAGATTGTGTTTTGTTCTTGGAGAAAGACACTTTCCTCTCACAGTGCTTCTCTCCACCCGGGTGTATGAATGGGAACAGGCAAATTTAATGTTGGTGGGTAACCTTGCGATGGACTAGCATCCCATCTTGGTGGGAGTAGAAATACTCCTAATTCTTTTATGCTGCAGAAACTGGCCTGATGGGCTTCTTGGAACCTGCTTATATGCAGACTTCTCCACTGTAGTTATGATTTGATTTATAGCCCTCCTTCCAGTAAGCACCTTGCAGGACCTCCCTATCAAGTGGGGCTGTATAAAGTGAATTATTATGGTAACTATTGTGTCCATTGCAGGGGTTTCAGATGGTCAAACCAGGCAGGCAAAATCATCCTCACGGCCAGTCAATTTACCCAGTACCCAGCCCTTAATGAAACCCCTGCTATTGTGTGCTCTGTGAATAGCTAGGAGGAGGGTTTAAATGACATCTGGAAACATTTCAAGATTTGTTGAGTTCATGTTCCCAAGCATCTCATCACTATTATATACTGTGAGATAGAGAGAACTATGCTGTTGTTTTGTCTTTTTGATGAAAAGAACAACATGTTTCAAAATCCATAACTGACATGATTTTAAATGTTGATTTTTGTTTTTTGGTTGTTGTCTTTTCCAGTGGGTTACCTACCTACAGACCTCATTCAACTCAAAGTAAGTTTCTTTTAAGTTTAAAATCAGTGTTCCTCTGTATGCTAGTAGCAGCAATTTTCTTTCTGTTCTATTTTTATCTAAGCATTTCTTATATTTCATTCAGATTTTCTTATATTGTTCTCTTAGGCAATTATACCCAAGAAAATCAATAACTCAAGCATGCACGTTTTGTTTGATAATAATGAAAAGTTGCGTTTATTTTTCAGGTTGACAGTGAAGGAAATCGAATAAGGTATAGGTCTATTTTGTCAAATAGTCAATGAAATTCTCTAGATTATTCATTAAGAAGCATCACAATATGCTTGTGGCTAACTCCCTATATACATTATCTTTACAGTCGAACCTCTCCACAACGGCCATCTAGGGGAGAGAAGAAACTGAAAGTGGCTGTTGTAGAGAGTTGGCCATTATGGGGAAGTAGGGCTATAATATGACCCCGGATTTTTTTGTGGGGTGAACATTTTTATTGAAATAACAAATGCTTATTTTAGCTCGTAAATATATAACATAATCAAAATATATTGATCAATAGAACAGAAACAGAGACCAGTGATGTGTGCTTCCATTCAAGTTTTGTGACCTTTAACAATGAAAAGTTGTGGTTTTGTATACACTGTTTGTTAGTCGTTGATTAACTGGTTGTTATGCAGATGTTGTTTCGGTAATTGGGATGCACTTTAGTGGCCATTACCATTGTGGAGAGGTGGCTGTTGTAGAGAGGTTAAAATAAAAGTGAATGTATGGACAATCTGCTGAGACAAAAAAATAGTGGCTATATTGTTATGAGGTGGCGGTTAGTGGAGGTTTGACTCTATCAACAATATTTGCGTAGTTTTTCAGTTATAGTTTCTATTTTGTACTTTGGTGAACTGACAGAGTAAATCATGTTTCAAACAACACATATTAATATACAGCAGTGCCATACAGTTATTAATTGTCTACAAAGAAAAATTATCTAACCAATCTACATGTAAATAGACATTCAAAACACGAAATTATGTGAAACAAGTATGTTCATGATTTCCATGGCAGATAACTAACTTGACTTGATTGATTTTAGTGCAATTATAACAGAAGACTTCTATGAAGATGTTGACCAATATCAAAGTGCAACCAAAATAGAAGAAGGTATATTGATGTATGTATATATAGTGCGGACGTACAAGAGTTTTTATTGCCTTTTTCTTCTACTGATGCTGAAAGCTTTGATGGAAATATTGAAGTTAGCGCAAGGACAAATAAAAGCCTATGGATCAGATCTCAAACCTTATTTGGCAATGAAAGTGAGAATTATGCACTTTGCCACTTAAGTCTTCTTTCTTGTAATTCTGGGCTTAAATTTGATTGAGAAGAGTAGAAAATAACCTTTGTGACTTAGCCTGTGTCCCCCGATTTTTTGAGGGGCACACAGGCTATTGAGACTGGGCTGCTTTTCTTTTGGAACAGGATATGCTAATAGCTGTGTTTGTAAGCATGGTGATCTGGGTGTAGACACAGTATGCCTGAGTGCATTAGGCTGCTAGACTTGAAATGTGCTGACCCTGCATTCAGTTTCTTAATAACTGCATCAACCACTACCTGGTGTCTCACGTTTGACCCATGGGTTTGGACCCTTGGGTTTGAACCCTTGGGTATTAAGGATGCTTACTCTCACAGTGCCTTTCTCAGCTGGAAGTATAAATAGCCAACAGTCAATTTATTGGGGAAGTGGTGGAAGGGGGCAGGTCTTGGTACAATGGACTAGCCACCCATTCAGGGGAGATTAACATCACTTTTGGTCACTTCAAGCTACAGAAACTGAGATAAGCTCCAGGACACATGGCCAATACAGACTTCACCTTTTACCTGCTTTCAGCTAGTGTGGATTCCTAATCATGTTACGTTCATTTGCAATATTGACATAAATATCAGTTCTTTATTTTGATTTCTGAAATATTTTCTCTCTTTGCACTGTCTTCTTGTTCAGAAGAGGACGACCAAGAAGTTTATGATGACATAGCGGCTGGGCAAGGTATGAATGATATGGGCTAAAGTGCCTGAACTTAATAACTTAATAATATTTATTATTTCAATTCATATTTGCATTTTTCACTCATTTTATTTAACTGCACAAGGAATGCACTTGCTAGCTTTGACCCTTGCAGGCTCTTGAAGGCTTAAGACATTAATTTTCACAAATTTTTGCTGAAAATTGTTCTTTAATTGATAATGTAATTTACTAAACCATACTGCTATTTTTTTTTTTTGCAGAACCCATTGATGAAGACTTGTACGAGGAACTTCCAGCTGATCAGTAATATTATTGCATTGTGAAAACTCATCCCTAGTCTCCTCCGCAGCCGTTATTTGAAATCGTCACGCAACGCTTCTCCGATGCGTGATGACCTAAATAACGACTGCAAGAGACTAACTGAGGGGTTCCCAAGATGATCAGTGTGTGTCACTGGTCTTCATCCTGCAGATTTTATCTACTATTGTACAATGTACAGATGAATATTTTAGCCATTTGATATTAATATTTTTCTTAATATTTTTCTTATAAGAATTGAAACTCAAATTTGTTGACACGTACCTCCCGGGGTGGGTCAGAAAAGTGCACACGGGCTATAAGCTTGTCAGCTGTTTATGGTGATCTCACGCAATTCTAAAAGAGAGGTGACATCACGCAATATCGATGAATGTCTCGTGACAACCCAAGTAACGGACAGCCAGAACGAGGGAATAAACGTTCTTATATCCAAAATTTTGTCATTGAATGTGGTAAGGAAAAAAAGAAATAGAATTTAACGCTTTTAAGTTACTTTAGGAAATAGTGTATTTTTCTAAATACACATTCGAAGAGCAAGTGTATTTTTTTTACAAAAATATGTTACAAATGAGCTGAGGGGCGAACCAATTTGTATACTGCGAGTAATTTACTAAATAAAGGAAGGGATCTTAATGGATTTGGAGATTATAAATTGAAATATATTGTACTTTTGCAGTTACATGTAAGACAGCAAGGGAAAATCAGTTATTTGAAATAAAGTTGTAATTTGGTATAACATTGATAGTTTTGTTGTTTTCGCTTCAGGAAACTAAACTATTCATTTTGACTCGTAAACGTGTTACTACTACATCATGTTGGCCATTGACTTTTGTATCATTTGGTGGCTCCTAAAGGAGCCGTTTGTTTTGGCGCGAAACCTCTAAAGTGAGTTTACTTGCTGCTGGTGTACTTAGTCACAGCCTTGGTTCCTTCACTCACGGCGTGTTTGGCCAGTTCACCGGGTAGAAGCAGCCTGATGGCGGTCTGGATATCGCGGGAGCTGATGGTTGATTTCTTGTTGTAGTGGGCAAGGCGGGAAGCTTCGGTGGCGATGCGTTCGAAGATGTCATTGACGAACGAGTTCATGATGCCCATGGCTTTGCTGGAGATACCAGTGTCAGGGTGAACCTGCTTCAACACTTTGTAGATGTAGATAGCATAGCTTTCCTTTCTCTTTCCCCTTCTCTTCTTATTTCCATCAGCGGCGGCCTTTGCCTTACCGGCTTTCTTCTCACCTTTCTTTCCTGCAACTTTAGGTGCCATGTCTGAAGATCAGATATGAAATACCTGCCCACTCGGTTGACCCTCTATTTATATGAAAATGAATGAAGGATCGATTAACTTACGGATCGAAATCCTCGATTGGTGATTGGTTAGATCTTAAAGCTGACCCTTGAGGTCAATTTTTCTACAATGGCCCATTCAATGTATTAGACCACTAGGTTTTGATTGGTGCTTTTCGATCCTTCCTACCTCGGTAAGAACTATAAATATGTTGCTGTTTGCAAAGTGATGTTATTTACTCTCTATTTTGAGACAACGAAGTTTTTGTACATCGTTAATCATGTCTGGTCGCGGCAAAGGGAAAGCAAAGGGGACTAAGTCCAAGAGCCGCTCATCCCGAGCAGGGCTTCAGTTCCCAGTTGGTCGTATCCACCGTCTTCTTCGCAAAGGCAACTATGCTGAGCGTGTTGGCGCCGGTGCTCCAGTGTACTTGGCTGCCGTGCTTGAATATTTGAGCGCCGAGATCCTCGAGTTGGCGGGCAACGCTGCTCGTGACAACAAGAAGACAAGAATCATCCCCCGTCACCTTCAGCTGGCTGTCCGTAA